AGACAAAAAAATAAAAAAAGGGATAGATAAAAATTGGACGCGAACCGGTTTGCGGTGCTTTCAAGTTAAAAAAAAAATGCTTGGCGCCGCTATCACTTTGAGGGAGCCACCTTTCTGACTCCAATATCGAATTCTCGGGGCGGAGGCGCCCGACCCGGGGAGGACACGCCCCCGAGGGCTGCCCCGGGCCCGACCCCCCGGCCCGCAGCTGGGCGGGCGGCGGGAGCTTTGTCCCCCAGCCCCCTGAGGATGGCGCCTCCCCGGGGCTGTTGGGGAAGGGGGCACTCTGAGCCGTGCGTTCGCTCATCCAGTCACCCAACACATGCTTATTAAGCACCTACTAGGTTCAGGATAGCAAAAGGGGGGGATGATCATGTGAACAAATATACCCTCCCAAGTTAGAGACCTGGAGCAGACACGTCTGAGGAATCTATGTGGTGTTGGGATGGGACTTTTAGTCAGGGCCTGCCCCTAACAGTGCTGCTTTGGAGTGATGATGGTGGTGGTGGTGGTGGGCACCAGAGAAGGGGGCAAGGAAGTGAGAAAACCGAGGAAGCAGGGGTTTCTTCTATTACCTCTGTCATTTAACACCCTCTTTGGGCCTTCAGCAGGTACCAAAAAATGAATTGAGGGCTCATTATTTCAACATTACTTATTACTGGCAGGAATACATTTCCTTTAAGGGTCTAGGTCAGCTCTGTGCAACAGAACATTCTGTGATGTGCTTTATACTATCTGTACTGTCCGATGCAGTAGTCACTAGCCACACGTGGCTGTTATTGAGCGCTGGAAATCTGGCCAGTGAATCTGAAGAACTGAGTTTTACATGTTATTTCATTTAAATTAAATAGCTGCATGTGGTTAGTGGCTGCGTTATTGCAGTGATGGTCAAGGCTCTCTACTTCCCATCTATTACACCAAAGGCCCTTTAGGTCAAGAACCTATTAATACTCAGCTCTTACCTTTACCATAAAACCCTCAGTCTTCTGGTCTAGTTACCCTCTGTCCTGCCTCCTATAGTTATGCTGAATCATCTCTTGGAGAATTTGTATGTCCATTCAATAAAACAAACCTTTGTTGAGCACCTTTTTAAAAATATATAGTTTTATTGATTTCAGAGAGGAGGGGAGATAGAAACATCATTGATGAGAATCACTGATCGGCTGCCTCCTGCACGCCCCTTACCTGGGAACCCGGGCATGTGCCCTTGACCTGAATTGAACCTGGGACCTTCAGTCTGCAGGCCGATGCTCTATCCACTGAGCCAAACCGGCTAGGGCAGGCACCTTTTGTGTGTAAGCAGTGGGGATTCAAAGATGCCCAAGTAGTCTTGCCCTAAGTCTGATCATCCAGCAGTCGTTTTAGCCAATGTTTGGGGGAAGGACCCTATATTTTTGTTAACATTGTACCGACTTTGCCCAGGGCGGAGATCCAGAAGCTTGGGTGGGAAAAGCCCAAGAGTTGAAGCAAGAAGCACTGGACTGGACTCAGGGATGGCTTCCAGCACTTGCTTGGTGATTCAGTCGCTCAACCTATATTTACTGAGGATCACATCTGTATTCTAGGCAGCTGGATGGCAGAGGGCCAAGGAAGGAACAAAAATTAGACTGACTTGAGATTTCTTAACAGCAACACTGGACTTAAGATCGTTGAATAGTATTTAAAACTGAGTTTTGATTTCTAGTTAAATTGTCAGGTATTCAAAGGATGAGAAGGTTTATCACATAGAGTCCCTCTTTGAAAACACTGTTAGAGAAAGCACTTCAACATGAAGAGAAATCAGTAGTATACTAGTAGGTGTGCTCAACAACAGTGAGTAGAAGCATTAAATCACTTTTTGTTTTTGTTCTTTAAAATAAACTTTTATTGATTTCAGAGAGTAAGGGAGAGGAAGAGAAAGATAGATACATCAGTGATGAGAGAGAATCATTGATTGGCTGCTTCCTGCTCGCCCCCTACTGGGGATTGAGCCCACAACCCATGCATGTGCCCTGCCAACCGTGGTTTTGTGTTTCATACACCCACGCTAAACCACTGAGCCATGCCGGCTGGGCAAATCACTTGTTTAAGTGATGCTTGCCTAAGGAAATGGTGCAGGGCAGTGCCAGCAAAGTACAGCCTGACTGGGCATAAGTGGAGAGGGTGGCAGAGCCATGGGAGTCCCATCAAGCGAAAGGAAAGGGAATTGACCCTATAGAAGTCAGCTCTTTGAGGAAGAGAAGACAGCAGCTAACTAGGGAAGAACTTTCAGAGGTGCTGTTATTTTTGTACTTTCTTGCAAGGCTTGTCTAAAACCCACATGCTCTCTCTTCTCTGGCCCTAAATTTCCAGGTTAACAATTCCAACTTTTCCAGTGATGGGATAGAGGATGGATCAGAGAGGGGGTGGGTGTTAAACAAAGGTCAGAGTCCAGGGCCAGTGAAGTTTATATTTACCCTCATTATTTACATGGTGATGGTTCAGGTATTAATTAACAGGAAACTACAAAGACTTTAAAAAAAAAAGGCTGTATGCCAAGAATATTTTTTCCTCCTCTCTGTCCCTGACCTAGAAAATATCATAATACAAATAGGCCTTTCTGATTTCTCTGGTTTTCAACAGAGATATAAAGTGAAACTAGGACTTTTGAAACAATTTGCTTCTTTTGAAACAATTCACTTAAGCAGAACTTGGTAGGAAAAATACTGATTTGGAAAACAAGGAATAACCTTCGTCTAGTGCAGTGGTTCTCAACCTTCTGGCCCTTTAAATACAGTTCCTCATGTTGTGACCCAACCATAAAATTGTTTTCGTTGCTACTTCATAACTGTAATGTTGCTACTGTTATGAATCATAATGTAAATATCTGATATGCAGGATGGTCTTAGGCGACCCCTGTGAAAGGGTTGTTCGACCACTAAAGGGGTCGCGACCCACAGGTTGAGAACCACTGGTCTAGTGGCTGGTACCTTCTCCTTTCTCCTCTTTCCTCCCTTTCTTTCATTCTATTCGCCTTCCCTTCTTCCTTCGCCGTCCCCTCTCTTCCCTTACCTACTCCCTCTCTCCTTCCCTGTCCCTACCTTTGACCTTTTCTTTTTTCATCACTCTTTCTTTTCTTCTTTCCTAACTTTCTTTTCTCCCTCCACACTCCCTTTTCTCCCCTAAGACAATTGTTCTGGGAGCTACAAAAATGTGGGATTTGGGGAGATTTTATGGGCTTCCTGGGGAGCCAGATAATGGGAGGAAGATCTTAAATGCAAGGGAGACCCTGCAGGGGAAGGAAATTGAGGGAGCCCCCAGGGAGCACCCCAGCCACCCTCTGTGCTTATGCCCACCCAGGCTATACTTTGCTGGCACCCCACAGAAGAATGAGGCTGGGCTGGGGTGAAGTATGGCCGGAAGTTTGGGACTGGCTCTGACAAGGGGCTGTGTCCTGGCTGCTGGATGACCAAACAGGGCCCCACTGTGCTATGAGTTCAGTTCCTCGCGATGGAGGCAGAAAAATTTCCCCTTCTTCCTTTCTAGGTTCTTTGGCTGTTCTAATAATAAAAAGGATGTAAGATAAATTAACAGGAGAAAAACTAATTTAATTGTATATATACAGGAGCCCCACAAAGAGGTGAGACTCAAAGGCAATTGAGGCATGTAAGCCATCCTCAGCTGAGGAAAGGGGTAGGGGCCTGGGCTTCACGGGCAGGAGGGCCATTCACAGGAAGATTAGTGGAATGGATGTTTGGCAATCAGCTATTTTCCCTGCTAAGCAGATTTTTTTCAGATACAAAATATGTTATCTCTGATAATAGCTCTCTTACTGGTACAGGCCCACTGTCTACATTCTTTCAGGCAGTTAGGGGGAAGTAAAAAGGTTTTCCTGAGTCTGCTGGGTCTTGATGGCTTTGGGCTGAAAATCATCCACATGCCAAAGAGGCCCATTTTGGGGTGGGACAGTCTGCTCCCCTTCCCTGTCTCCCAGCAGGTTCCCTTCAGGGCACTGGGACTGCAGATCTCCGTGACAGCTGGTGCTCATGAGGGGGTCAAGCATCTCAATTTTACCTGAACTTTAAGGGTTTAATGACGGTTTGTTACGAAGGGTGGGAGAGCCCAGCCAGTGTGGCTCAGTGGTTGAGCGTTGACTTATGAACCAGGAGGTCAAGTCGATTCCTGGTTAGGGCACATGCCCGGGTTGCAGGCTCAATCCCTAGCAGGGGGCATGCAGGAGGCAGCCAATCAATGATTCTCTCTCATCTTTGATGTTCTATCTCTCCCTCTTCCTTCCTCTCTGAAATCAACAAAAATATATTTAAAATAGAAGAAGAAGAAGAAGGAGAAGGAGAAGGAGAAGGAGAAGGAGAAGGAGATTAAAAGAAGAAGAAGAAGGAGGAGGAGGAGGAGGAGGAGGAGGAGGAGGAGGAGGAGGGTGGGAGGAAACACTGGAAACCGTAGATCCTGGCTTAAGCCCTATTGTATCCTTGCCCAGCGCAGGGTGGGCCAGTGGTATTAGGAGGAGAGGTGGGCAGTCCCCGAGGGCACACCGGTACTGGCTGAGGGAGTCGGGGGCAGGGGGCAATCCTCCATCAGCAGACATCTATGTTCAGATCGTGCTTGAGACATGCTACCCCATCCCACCCCCAGCCATGCACCAAGGGGCATGTGGCAGAGGACCGGGAGGAACAACTGCAAGAACCTCTGTGCAAAGTGGGGGACCAGCCAGTTCTGCTTGGCATCCAGGAGCAGGTGACAAGCTCTCCAGAGCAGGAACGGCCCTTCTGCATCTTCAGCCCAGGACAGCGTTGGCAAAATGCAGCCTCAGCATGCAAACTTGGAAAGGGGTCTGCACCTGCCACCCTGCTCATGGCCTCAAGGTGACTTCATGGGGACCTGGCAGCATCTGAGTCTCTGCAGAGCAGGGAGGGGAACAGGA